TTCTCTATTGTTTGTGTTTGTGGTCACCTATTTTCCTTTTCCATTTTCCTTTGTCCATGTCCCTTCTGTCATTCGCCTTCCTTTCGTCGTCTATCTCCTGGGATGTGTCTTCTGTTTATCGTCTGTTTTCCCCCGTCTGTCCTTGTGACTTTCTTCCGTCGGCTGCATTTCATTATTTGTCTTCCTGCCCTCGTCTGTTTTTCATCAATTGATTTCTGTCCTCTATCTCACTTTCTTCTATTGTTTCTCTTCCTTTCGTCATCATTGGTTCAAGGTTTGTCTATCCGTCTTTATTCGGACGTCTGTTTTCGTTTTGTCCTCGATTTTTCGTCGATTGTCAGTTTTCTATGTTCTGTATTTCGTCACCTGTCTTCCGCCGTTTGTCTGTCTATTTTCAATCGTGGCCTCTTTCGTTATCTGCTTTTCTGGATATATCTGTATTCCTTCCTCTGTCTGTTTCCAGTCACTATATATATTACTTTATTCCATCGTCTGTCTTTCGTCGCCTATTTTTCTTCTTTATTTTTTCCTTCTTCTATGTGTTTTTCTTCCATTATTACTTATTTTCTGGCAGTTGCCTTTCTTTCGTCGTCTATCGCCTGTTATGGATCTTCCTTTTATCGTCGTTTGCCTTCTTGTCGTCGTTTGTCTGTATCGACTGCTTTTCGTCGTCATTCTCTCTTTCTTCTATTGTCTGGCATCCTTTCGTCGTCATTGTTTCAACGCTTGTTTGTTTGGCGTTTTCCGGTCGTCTGTCTTCTTTTTATCTTTTGTCTTCCGTCTTTACCTTTCCTTGTCTGTCTTCGATTGTCTATCTTTTGTCTTCTGTCCTTCGTAGTCTGTAGCTCGTTGTCTGTCTTCTATGGTCTACTTTCGCCACTTGTCACCTTATATAACTATCTCTATCCTACTTTATCTGTCTTCAGTCATTTGCCTTTTTTACGTCGTCTCTCTGTATGTCTTTCATCTATCGTCCTTCCGTCGTTACATGTCGTCCTGTTTTTTCCTCTGTCTATGCGTTTATCTTCCATTATCTGTCTTTCGTCATTTGTCTTCCTTTCATCGTCTATCATTTATTATGTGTTCCTTCCACTCTCTTTTCCATCCACTGTTCTTCTGGTTTTCTTCTATCGTTTGTCTTCCTGTCGTCGTCTAGCCTTACTCGATTGCTTTTTTTCTTCTACCTCTCTTTCTTCTATTGTTTGTTTTCTTTTCATCGTCATTATTTCAACGTTTGCTTGTCTGTTTTTCTTCGGTCTTTTTATCCTTTGTCTTCGGTTGTTTATATTTCACCATCTAACTCTCTATCTGTCTTTGATTATGTCTTCTTTTCAACTTTTGTCTTCGTCGTTTATCTTTCCTCGTCTACCTATCCATCTATCTTCGTTTGTCTGCCTTTCGCAGTCTGTTTTTTGTTTCTTTGTCTATCTTCAGTCCCTCATTTTTTCTGGCGTCTTTCATTGTCTGTTTTTCTGGACCTACCTGTTTTTCTCTTCTTTCTTCCGTCGTCTGTCCTCGTTGTCGGTCTATCTTTCGGCGCCAATCTTTCTTCTCTATTTTCCTTCGTATACGTGTCTTTCTTCTTCTTTTCGTCATCTATCGCCTGTTATATATCTTCCTTTTATCTTCTCCCTTTTCGCGTCTGTTCTTATGTCTTTCATCCGTAGTATGAATTCCGCCATTTCTCTTCTTGTCGTCATCTGTCCTTCATCGACTGATTTTCGTTGTCTTTCTCTCACTCTCTTTTCTATTGTCTGGTATCCTTCCGTCGGCACTGTTCTAACGTTTGTTTGACTGTCGTTCTTCGGTCGTCTGTCTTCTTTTTGTCCTTGGTCTTCCGTCTTTTACCTTTCCCCATCTGTCTTCGATTGTCTATCTTTCGTGTTCTATCTTCCGTAATCTGTAGTTCGTTGTCTATCCCTACGTCTTTCTTCCGTCGTCTTTCGTGATCTATATTTTGCAGTTTATTTTCTTCTGTATTTTGTCGATTATCTTTTGTAGTCTGTCTTCGTTTGTTTATCTTGTTATTACTTAACGACTTTTTGAAAATATGGGGGGGCCGATGGGAGATCCTACTAAAAATCCCTTTCCATTTTTTATGAAATACTTAGTTTACAACAAATTTTATAAAAAATCAACATCCACGTGTAATTTGTACACCAGGTCCGTTTACTTGGTTATGTACTTACGATGAATTATGAAAGGGTAAAATAAGAAGGTAAAAATTTACTGAATGTAAGTTAGAATTGAATTCAAAACCTTTTTCGAAATTTGTCAAACTTGAAGACGCCATCTCAAAATTTTGCATAGTAAGCGCTATTTAAAGTTTATAAGAAGGACTCGCTTGAAATATACACATAGCGTACCTATAGCTTAACAGTCCACGTATACCTCTGTTTTAATTTGAAGGAGTTTGGGTCAAAGTATTCTTAGACCAATATACTGTGTCAGATGATAAAAAATAATAAAATTATTAGTATTTTTGTTCATAGTATACACGACCGTAGACAGTTCAGATTACTACAGAATTGTGTTAAATAAAAAAAAGTCCTTGTTATCGTTCTGGAGTTTCGAATGTGTCGAATACAGACCACATATTTTGGTGGCCATGGCAACGTCTCTCCTTTATTATAAAGTACGCTTTCGCCAGACGTAGGATCAAGTAACAAGTTTCTCTCTCCCATTAGCAAGAACAAAAACAGCGATGATTTAACAAACACCAAACTTACGCGCAAACGAAATGTTACGTGTAAGCCAATTATTAAGTTTCAATTTCTACACGGCTACGAACAGCGAAGATAAACGTTTCTGCGTCAGCAAGTCAAGAACAACAAAGTATTCAATTATTCGTTTTGATACCTCGAAAAATAAAACAAAGCCGTCCCAAATTACAAATTTAATCAATCTGCACCTCGTCCGTCCAGTATTCATCCAAGAACAAAAAACGCTGACGTTCGTTTCCGAGTTGTTTTTCTCTCTTTGTAAATAAATAATAATAGTTCAGCAAATATGAATTATATGAGTGATTTGCAATAAAAACACAATCAGTAAGTCGCATTATTAATAACCCTCGCTCGTGACGCTGCAACTTTCCAAACCCCGACTTGAATAGCGATAATCATAAACAAGATCCATAAATTTAAACCGTCATAATCCATAAACACGAAAACAATATTCAACTCCAGGGTCATTTTTTGAAAGCAACTGGTTTCCATCAAAGCGAGAAACCTCGAGAATATGGAATAAATCCAAACATGAATAAATCCCGCTGCGTCAACATAAACAAGTGGAAGAGCCAAAGGGTAGTTTAATCTGGCCCCGTCAGACAGCCCAAGACACAAAATCAATTCTCCAAGTTGCCTAATCGCTCATTTAATCGCACCTAGGGCCGTAAATAACCGTGGTTCAACAACCAGAAATGACCCCCGGCTGATCGGGCCACCAATCACGTTCGCTGTTGCCATCCCGAAAGCTCAACACCTGTTCTGGGGGAAATACAGTCGATAGAGCCTTGAAAATTGGGTCACAGGATGCAAGTTGGTGCACGAGGAGTAGGACACTCCAGGAGCAACGAACCCAGCTCGAAACTGGAACGGTGCTACTGCCATACAAACACGTTCATCATAATGAATCAATAATCGGGCTTTTGGCAGGGCCGGAGCGGGAACGAAAAAAGGGACGGTCTAAATCCGCGTGACTCTAATGTTATCTGAATCCGGGCCTGCCGCCACTCCGGGCCAAATCCTCCTCTCCAGCAGCAGCTTTGCAAGAATTAGGTTTCTCCAAAGTGTATTCCCTGCTCTTAAGCAGGAAATAAATTAAGGTGCGCGCTACCTAGTAATTGCAACGGATTGCTTTCCTATGCTAAAAATACAGAAGCAGTGGAAAACTCCTTAATCTAATTTGTCGATACAAAGGAAAGTCTCGAGTCAAAGCGGGCCGACGTGAAAAATGATCAATTTGTCGAGCAAAGGGGTAAAAGCTCCCACGAAGACTCCGCCGAATCATAAAAGCGCTTTCATCTCGTCGTAAAAGTAGAGAAAACCGCATCGTGTGCATAAATCTGATTTATCTAAATCGGATCATAAATAGGAACGTGGACGTTTGGTATGACGCTGAACAAACTGGTGTGGTAAGGATAAGCTTTGAAAGTTACATCGATTATGGTCAACGAAGTTGGAGAGAGAAGTCGGGCTCGGGGGGAGGTGTTAGGTGCCGACTTACCCGAGCCCCATAATTTTCGCATTTTTATGTTTTCGAAATTGAAACTTTTCGAAATAACAAGGCAGCGTGGGAGGCTATTATTTCATGAATAGGTCTTTTACTTTGCATTTTTAGGTGCTCGTGTAATTTTAAATGTAACGCGAAACTTTTGCCGGCTTCATTAGCGGCGGTGTTTAATCGGAACTGATTAAATTTGTAATACGGGAAAGTTTACGAAGAGGAATATTTGATTAGATTTTAATCGATTTGTGCAGATAATCGTAAACTGAATATAACTAATAATTAATTTTTTGTAGACGAGGCTGCTTTGGACATTTCGCCGTCTTGTCATGTCTGTTACAAATATAGCTTGGTATTCAATATTAATGTCTGTTTAGCGGTTCGTGATTTTAGTTCCATTAGGACACGTATTGTTGAGTAATAATGTGGGGTTTGAATAGCGCCACATCGATTTCAGTTATTGTTATTAGAAATTGTGTCTACTTGAGTGAAATGAAAGCGAGTCATGATTGTTTACGAAAGTCCTTACTAAAAATAAGCGCTGTATTTACTTGTCGGAGCAGTTTTTCTGTTTATTCTGGATGAAATAATCGGTACAGCACCACATCCTTTGGGCGTTATGCTGGGAAAATGTCAAAGTTCATCCAGGACCCGTTGCCCGGATCTCGTAAACAAGGTCATGAACTACCGGGGAAGATGTAGGAATGACCTTTCGCCCTATAATTAAGCGATGAAATATTCAGCTCAGGATTGGGTTTTTTCAAGGAATGAAACGATGTTCTTGAAGACATTTATTATATCAGTCAATAGGTTATAATAATGTATAATTTTAATATATACACAGATTAGCGTGGGTCTTATTCGACGGAATAAGAGTGTCTTTTATGACATGATTTTTGACTACTGCTACTTCTACGATATATCAAAATATAGTATTTACATTTGGTACAAAATATGCAGGGATATGTACAATTTAATTTTCTCTAAAACACATGCTCGCACCTTGAAAGATACGAAAAATATCTTCCAAGGTGTCGTAACAAGTCCATATCATTGACAAATCGACACCTGTATCGTTAGCTGAAACCTACAGATATACACGAAATGAGAGAAGATTAACAAAATTTGTCAACAATACTGACGAGAAGCAACAACGCCTAGCTAGTTTTTGATTGAATGGGATTCGTAATTTTCCTCTGGTTCCTTTCACCATCTGCCCCTCTGGAATTCGAAACTGATATGTCGCGGAATTGACTCAGAACCAGACGGGGAAACTGCGAAGAAAAAACGAAAAGCCGGTAGGAAAATATCCGGCAAAAATATACCCTCTCTATGAATATCTATTAAAAAAATAGAAAGCCTCTAACGCTGTAAGGAACAACAAGCATTGATCGACTGAAGCGCCTTATGGAAGAGCTCGAGAAATTCCCAACGATCACTTTACAGAACAACGAATACAGTATTCTCCTATCGATAAATAGATGAAAATTCGTGCCACTGCAACAACAACGAAATCGAGTGTGGCGACACTGAGCTAGATTGGGACATCGAATTTGCGACAATGAGACTACCGTAATAAGCACAGTCCTTGTTCTCTGTATCACAGATTGCGTCTGCAATGTGAAGAATTATAATAGGCGCCTCCGCAGGCCCTCGTAATCCATCTCGCCTATTATATCAAAAAAAAGCCGGAAAACGTGTGCCCACAACGAAAATTTTGAACGGGACCCTGTCAATGGTTAAAGCTCTACTGTGATTGCCTACTTTGCTGCGAAACGAACCGAAAGTTATTGTGCCCACAACAAGTTTCGTGAATCTAACACCCTTAACATACAAACAACCATTATTGTCTCCTCTGGAACTTTTTATTTAACAGCAGGGAAATAATCAAAGCAAACCTCTTTCCGAACCGGTTAAATAAAAAGTCAACGAAACCCCGGAGGAATGAGTAATTGAAATTGACACGCAATACAGAATGACACCGATATTATTGTATTAGTATATACATCCAGGCAGCAAAGAGCCATATGGAAGGAATACGAGAAGCGAAATGACAGTGGAACTGAAGCTTTACATCCCGTAGAAATCACCTCAACATTGTCAACAACAAAATTAATACTAATTCTCAGTCTTAGTTGCAGCAGATCCGGCGATCCCCTTACTGGGCTTTCTTTAGAACGGACAGCTGGCGCGTCAGACTCTCCTCGCTCGAGATGATCCTCTTCTTCATGTGCGGTCTAATCTCGTCCACCCCGTATTTCTGGAACAAGCGATCGATTCAATCCTACCCCAATGTTGGCACGCCGCCAAATATAGATTGAATGAAGCGGAATGAATGAGCGTACTTACATTCTCGAGGCTCTTCTCCATATCCAGCATGTGCTTGATGGTGTCATACACCGAAGGCGCCCTCTTCCTCTCCTCGTCCTTGGACATCATCTCCAGAACCGGACTGGAGAACGGGTGCCTCACGGGAGTCGCCGGACGCATCAAAACTTCCTCCTTCTGTCCCCTCGCGTCCCGCTTCGGCGCCAAGGAAGTCGAAACGGGAGCCGGAGTGGTCGTCAATTTTACCAGAACCTTCCTATCGAAAGTTTTGTCTCTCTTCTCCTCGTGACTATTCTTACTTTGCTTCTCCTTCTGGTTGCGGAAGTTGCTGCGTTGGAACCAGTGGATGTCGTCCATTTTTGGCTTACTTTTAGACTTGACCAGCTGCTTGAGCTCGCGAACATCTTCGTCTTCCTGATTGTAGTGTGATTTCTGCTTGGGGATGTCGTCCCAACGGGAGTAGTCCTCGGGGTAGTAATCGTCGTAGTAGTCCTTCTGGTTATCTAGCGCTTCTTTGTACATTTGCGACATGATCAGGTTCTGGAGGAACGCCGCGTTGACGTCGTCGAGGTTGTCTTCGGTTTGGTCTTCGTTCTCGTAGAGGAGCTCGTGCCCGATTGGCTGGGCCTCTTCACGCTCTTCTCGTTCCGCTTCTTGCATCATTTCTTCCTGGAGGTCAACAGCGGGATCGCTGTCGTAGTAGCCATAGTTAGGACGGGTTAAATATCGGTCTCCGTAATAGTAAGGAAGGACTGCTTGGTATACTTCGTATTTGGAGGTTCTGGCTGGAGGATAGTACACTGGGTAAGTTTCCTGAGGGTAGTAGTCTTCGGGATACTGGCTGTAAGGATACAATTCATAGTAGTTTATGGGGTATCTCTGGGTGCGCACCATTTGGTATGGCGCCCAAGAAGAAACCCGCTGAATTGATGATCGACCGTACCTTTTGGTTCCATACACCGGGTAAGCCGTGGATGGCGAAAAGAGGATTACGATCACCTCGAGAATTAAAAGCATCTGCAGAGCCATCTGAAAACAACTGTTCTTAACCCGGACTAACCCGCCGCCAACTCCACTCACCATCTCTGACTCTAGTCGTAAAACTCAGCTCTTCTTGGTTTAGTCAACAACAACCTGGCTCCGTAGCCGAAATGCGTCTCCCTCTGGTCCTTACCCCTATTTATAAGAAACGCTTCCCCTCCGGAGGCACCCACACGTTATCAATGAACTGGCGGCTGGTGGGGACGGCATCACAGAATTGCGCCAACGGGGCACGATTGGCGGCATATTCAACAAGCTGCCGCCCCATTGGTGGCCGTATCCGAGCCGTATTGATCCAGTTACTATGTATGCGCGAACTTCTAGGCCATATAACTTCCGGAGGATGTTATGCCGAAATCTTACCTCTACACACCAATTCCATTCATAACTTCTGGGGCCCAAAATCGATGTTTGGGGGCAGAAGTGGGTCGATGCGGCGGTGGATTAGACGACATGGACGTGGTGATTTTTTGCAGACTTGATGGATTGGGAGGGCGCTAATGGCTCGTTTGATGGGTGAATGCGTTGTTTGGAGATGTGTGATCATTTCGCGCCCATTTGTTTGCTTAATTACGATGCGTGAGGTATTTGTGCAGATGTGTACGGAATTATTATACGGGAGCTTTGGCGTAAATAGGTGCCGCACTTGACCCATATCCTCGGGGAAAAACATAGTGGATATGCGAAACACACGGCTTGATTACCTGCCGTGCTCTAAATAATATCAGGCTTAATTAGTGTGGGAATTATTATATATTGTGGCCTGGATGAGATTAACGTACACCGATTGTGGGATGGCGAGGAATTTAATCAAAACGTGAAATTGTTTGTGAGCGTAGTTATGGCGTGGAAAAAATAACAACAGATTGGAAAAAATATCAAAATTTAGTGTTAGACCGACGGGATGAAGGAGAATATTTTTATTTTATTTAGAAGGTAGGACATTTTAAAGCAAACATTACTCCGTTATTACTAGCTCTATAAAACGTAATCCGACGGACGGCATCCAGAACGAAAAATTTATATATTTTCAATATATTATTTTAGTATCGATTCTAAAAAACTTAGGTCAAATTAAGAGCCTAATTTCAAGTAAAAGAATAATATATGTATGCATTTAAATATCTTCGTGAGGTTGATAATTAAATTAATTAGTTCTGTCAAATTATTAAATAAGTCTAAAATGCAACCAGAATCTCGACATGTTTAGTATGAATTAAATTGGCTTTGTTTGAAAATTCCCTTATATCTGTGACATCGATTCGTGTCGTTGTGATTCCAATAGTCTTTGTTTCTAGTCGAGATATGTCGTCTTGCTTTGTTCACTATTGTCATCGCTCTTAAAGCCCCCTCACTTTTGTCTCTTCACTATTCTTTCATGAACCGGTTTCTTAGATGACACTCATTCTTAAAACCAGACCGGCGTCTGAAAGGCCGAAATTTTACTTCGTTTAAAAGTATGTAAAATTTTGATTCGGGCATCGGGGCCCTGGAAAATTCATGGCTGATTGTTCAAGTTTTTTTTTTTGATTGTTCATGTTTTTTTAATTTTTTTAAACAACCTTTTAATTTTCAAGTTTCTTTCTCACGATTTTCCATTTTCTTGAACTTTTTAATAATTTTTTCCCTGTCCCTTTTTTAGAACCAGTTTATACAGTATTTTCTCTGGAATTAAGTTAATCACACATGTATCGAGGCGTTTAGCGACTTCCGACTGGCGTAGAGTCGGTCACGTGGTACTTTAACGTCGTATTAAAAATTTAATTGGATAATAAAATATTTAATTGACTTTCTGTAAACCGGGTCTTAAAGAATTGGTTTGAAAGATTTCCCCTTTTGTTTACGATTTTTTCAAGGTTTTAAAGATTCTTTAATTTTTTTGAAGATTTCTTTAATTTTTCAAGATCCTTCATTTTTAAATTTCTTGGAGATTTTTCAAGACTTTTTAAAGAGATTTCAAGTTTTTAATCTTTTGGAAGGTTATTCGTTTCTTGAATTCCTGATGATTTTTCTTTGAAGATTTTCAAGATTTTTTACAGATTTGTTTTAAAATTTTCAATTTTTTTTTCAAAATTTTAAAAGAATCTCTCGGCGATTCGTGTATGGTTTTTGAAGTAGTTTGAAAGAATCTTGTGAACCATTTCTTTTTGGGTAGTTTTAAAGAATCTCGGGGGTCACTTTTGTTTTGGTTCTGACCAAATCTCGGGGACCGCTGGTATCTGGTTGTAGAAGTAATTTTAGAGAATCTCGGGGGTCCTTTTTGTTTTGTTTCTGAAGTAGTTTAACCAAATCTCGGGGACCACGCGTACCTTTTGTTTTGTTTTTGAAGTAGTTTATGTAGAATCTCGGGGACACCTTGTGGGTTTATTTTTGAAGTAGTTTGAAAGAATCTCGGGGACTCCTTGTGGTTTATTTTTGAAGTAGTTTGAAAGAATCTCGGGGAGCCCTTGTGGTTTATTTCTGAAGTAGCTTGAAAGAATCTCGAGGACTCCTTGTAGTTTATTTTTGAAGTAGTTTGAAAGAATCTCGGGAACACCTTGTGGCAAGTTTTCGAAGTAGTTTGAAATAATCTCAGGGATTCCTTTTGTTTTGTTTTTGAAGTAATTTTTGTAGAATCTCGGGGACACCTTGTGGGTTTATTTTTGAAGTAGTTTGAAAGAATCTCGGGGACTCCTTGTGGTTTATTTTTGAAGTAGTTTGAAAGAATCTCGGGGAGCCCTTGTGGTTTATTTCTGAAGTAGCTTGAAAGAATCTCGAGGACTCCTTGTAGTTTATTTTTGAAGTAGTTTGAAAGAATCTCGGGAACGCCTTGTGGCAAGTTTTCGAAGTAGTTTGAAATAATCTCAGGGATTCCTTTTGTTTTGTTTTTGAAGTAATTTTTGTAGAATCTCGGGGACCCCTTGAAGTAGTTTGAAAGAATCTCGGGGACTTCTTGTGGTTTATTTTTGAAGTAGTTTGAAAGAATCTCGGGGACTCTTTGTGGTTTATTTCTGAAGTAGTTTGAAAGAATCTCGGTGACCCCTTTTGTTTTGTTTTGTGTCTAGTTTTTGAAGGACTTTGAAAGAATCTCGGGGGTCCCTTGTCTCTAGTTGTCGAAGTAGTTAAGAATCTCGGGGGTCTCTTTTCTCTAGTTTTCGAAGTAGTTTGAAAGAATCTCAGGGATTTCTTTTGAGTTGTTTTTGAAGTAGTTTATGTAGAATCTCGGAGAACCTTTGAAGTAGTTTGAAAGAATCTCGGGAACGCCTTGTGTCGAGTTTTCAAAGTAGTTTGAAATAATCTCAGGGATTCCTTTGGTTTGTTTTTGAAATAATTTATGCAGAATCTCGGGGACACCTTGAAGTAGTTTGAAAGCATCTCGGAGACGCTTTGTGTCGAGTTTTTGAAGTAGTTTGAAAGAATTTCGAGAACTCCTCCTTGTGGTTTATTTTTGATTAAGTAGTCTGAAAGAATATCGAAGACGCCTTGTGTATAGTTTTCGAACTAGTTTGAAAGAATCTCAAGGATTCCTTTTGTTTTGTTTTTGAAGTAGTTTATTTAGAATCTCGGGGACGCCTTGTGGGTTTATTTTTGAAGTAGTTTGAAAGAATCTCGGTGACCTCTTTTGTTTTGTTTCTGAAGTAGTTTGAAAGAATCTCGGAGGCGCCTTGTGTCTAGTTTTTGAAGTACTTTGAAAGAATCTCGGGGGTCCCTTGTCTCTGGTTTTCGAAGTAGTTTGAAAGAATCTCGGGGGTCCATTGTCTTTAGTTTTCGAAGTGGTTTGAAAAAAACTCAGGGATTTCTTTTGATTTGTTTTTGAAGTAGCTTATGTAAAATCTCGGGGACCCTTTGAAGTAGTTTGAAAGAATCTCGGGAACGCCTTGTGTCGAGTTTTCGAAATAGTTTGTTTTGTTTTTGAAATAATTTATACAGAATCTCGGGGACCCCTTGAAGTGGTTTGAAAAGATCTCGGAGACGCCTTGTGTCCAGTTTTTGAAGTAGTTTGAAAGAATCTCGGGAACTCCTTGCGGTTTATTTTTGATTAAGTAGTCTGAAAGAATCTCGAAGACGCCTTGTGTATAGTTTTCGAACTATTTAGTTTGAAAGAATCTCAGGGATTCCTTTTGTTTTGTTTTTGAAGTAGTTTATTTAGAATCTCGAGGACGCCTTGTGGGTTTATTTTTTAAGTAATTTGAAAGAATCTCGGGGACTCCTTGTGGTTTATTTCTGAAGTAGTTTGAAAGAATCTCGAAGACTCCTTGTAGTTTATTTTTGAAGTGGTTTGAAAGAATCTCGGGGACTACTTGTAGTTTATTTTTGAAGTAGTTTGAAAGAATCTCGGGAACGCCTTGTGTCGAGTTTTCGAATTAGTTTGAAATAATCTCAGGGATTCCTTTTATTTTGTTTTTGAAGTAATTTTTGTAGAATCTCGGGGACCCCTTGAACTAGTTTGAAAGAATCTCGGAGACGAATTGTGTCGAGTTTTTGAAGTAGTCTGAAAGAATCTCGGGGACTACTTGTGGTTTATTTTTGAAGTAGTTTGAAAGAATCTTGGAGACCCCTTTTGTTTTGTTTCTGAAGTAGTTTGAAAGAATCTCGGAGGCGCCTTGTGTCTAGTTTTTGAAGTACTTTGAAAGAATCTCGGGGGTCCCTTTTCTTTAGTTTTCGAAGTAGTTTGAAAGAATCTCGAGGGTCCCTTGTCTCTGGTTTTCGAAGTAGTTTGAAAGAATCTCGGGGGTCCATTGTATCTAGTTTTCGAAGTAGTTTGAAAGAATCTCAGGGATTTCTTTTCATTTGTTTTTGAAGTAGTTTGAAAGAATCTCGGGGACGCCTTGTGGGTTTATTTTTGAAGTAGTTTGCAAGAATCTCGGGGACTCCTTGTGGTTTATTTTTGAAGTAGTTTGAAAGAATCTCGGGGACTCCTTGTGGTTTATTTCTGAAGTAGTTTGAAAGAATCTCGGGGACTACTTGTAGTTTATTTTTGAAGTAGTTTGAAAGAATCTCGGGAACGCCTTGTGTCGAGTTTTCGAATTAGTTTGAAATAATCTCAGGGATTCCTTTTATTTTGTTTTTGAAGTAATTTTTGTAGAATCTCGGGGACCCCTTGAACTAGTTTGAAAGAATCTCGGAGACGAATTGTGTCGAGTTTTTGAAGTAGTCTGAA